TCCACTCTGGAGGTCCCTCCTGTCTCACTTTATTTATTGGTATCCTGATAGGGCTACCTTGCAGTCACCTACGTTCTGTGACAGCCACGTTCCCGTTATTGCAATTACACCCTGAGACGTATTGGCTTCCCGCATTCTCAGTTCGTCGACCTTGAAAAACAGACTCTGAGCATTGGTGTAGGGGAATTTAAGTTTGCAACATTAAACAGTGCTTATTTCGGCTTATTTCGAGTTTCCCAATGCTATGTTGCTGCCGCCATCATGTCTTGACAAACGCGGTGAAGGGAACACCATGTCGTTCTACTTTCCATGAAAAAAAAAACAAAATAACGGTTACATAGGTTTCTTCTGGAGCAGAAACATGACGAAAGGCAGAAAGCTGAACCACTTGGCCGTTTCCCGGAACTTTATGACAAGTAAACCAGTTTCAGTAAGTCGACCGTCTCGTTAAGCTCTATGCTCACGTTAGTTAAATCTTCAAAACTTCGTTAAACATAATCTCGACCCAGCGAGCACTAGTACAATCGCCATAGTGTATTATAAGGTCTGCACTTATCAGTGATTGTCTTGGTAAACTGATGAGAGCATGCAAAAATTAACTAGCTGTAAACAAAATACGGCTGCCGCCACGATATCCAGCGCTAGTCTCTTTATTTTCATGCCCATTATTATTGCTTTTGTTCTACCATATCTGGCACACGTAGTTCCTTGGTATCCAGTTCTGTGTTTCGCGTTTTAAGCATAGTGCCCGACTACTCAGGTTTGTTTTGTCTCCTATAAACTAAATGACAACTACGTCGCCTACTTCACGGTCAGAATTCGCTAGTCAGGTATCCACTTTTTATGAAAAATGAAAGTTTCGAAAGGAATAAGCCACTGCGGTAAATGAGGAGGATATTAAAACAAGAGCCAAATGAGCTGTAAGACGGAAGGCTTAAATTCGCATTATTGTTCTTATTTCTGGACGTCTTGGTATTATGTTCCGCTTTTCGGTGTGAGTGCAGGAGCGTCTAAGTAAGATTTTATTGATGCCGATAGTTCCTTACTCATGTTTCGAAAAGTTTCCGAAAAATATATTGACGATTTGGTCTGGGTGCTCCACTCACGCACCACCCAACTTCATACCTTCTTACACATAAAAATGGAAGTGTTTTTTGTGTGTTATAGGTAATCTCCGAAAGTACTGCACTGACTGCGCTGAACTTTTGACACAATCATGTCTGCGCATAGGGCCGGATTGTTTTATGTCTACCTTCATAATTATGCAGATAGCACGCCTGTGACTGACAGCAAACATAGAGACTGGGCAGCACGCTTAGTTTACAATTGCAAATGTACAACAGGTAATCCTGGATCCACCGGCAACAACATTAACTGCATTCTTCACGCTATGCCAAACTGACGGGCTTGCGTTTGCTATATTCAGAAGTGACTAATTATTGCATATGGAATGCCTATATAAAGTCTTTCACACGCCACGAACGAGGAGACCGAGTGGACGGACACCCCAGCGTATTCAAGGGAACTGCGATAGGAAGACTGTACACCGGGCATCCCAATCAGGTCGACTGCTTTTCCTTCGCATGCCGTTGGTGAATGTGTCCGGTCCAACGTCTATCCAGCAATCGGAATCTGTCAATGGCGTAACGCATGCTACTTTCCGCAGTGCGTGTCAGGCTCTTAAGTTATTGGATAACGATCAGCACTGGGATGTATGTATTAATGACGCTTGCATCACGTCCCGTCCACATCAAATTCATGGATTGTTTGCAATCATATTGATTGCATGCTCTCCTTCATCTACGATAGATTTATGGGGGAAATATAAACCGCATATGGCTGAAGACACCTTCCGTTAACTACTTAAATGCGGACATCACAGCAGAAATCCGCCATGAGGCGTTAATGCTGGTTAAGGATATGTAGGTAGACATCGCGAACAAAGTTCTTAATAAACTGGGAATGTTATCGTCCAATCGAACTGCTGCTGCTTCGCTAGATGTCGATTTGCCCCGTGGGCAAAACTACAGCACGCTCGAACTTCTGCCATACCTGCAATCAAACATTCCTAAGTTAACATTGGAGCAGAATGGCATTTGCGATGAAATAATGCGGACTGTCAATAACGGGATCGGAGAGATCTTCTTTTTAGATGCTCCAGGAGGGACTGGCAAAACGTTCCTACTACGACCGATTCTGACAGCAATACGTTCCAAAAATGAAATAGCCTTAGCACTTGCATACCCGGAATAATTGCAACCCTGCTACCCGGCAGAAGAACCGCTCATTCTGCTTTCACATTGCCGTTGAGCATGCAATGCATGGAAAGTCCTATGTGCAACACTTCCAAGGCATCCAGCATGGGAAAAGTACTGAAGAAATGCAAACCTATTGTTTGGGATGACTGTGCAATGGCGCACAAAAAGGGTCCTAGGTGGTTGACCGAACACTTCAGGGTTTGCGCAAAAATGGCAGACCATTTGGGGACGCGTTGATAATGCTTGCAGGAGAGTGCAGGTAAACATTGCCTGTAATTCCTCGATGGACAACATCGGACGAAATAAATACATAAAACAATCTTTTGTGGAGCCACGTACAGAAGGAAAAATTAGCTACTAAGCATGCGTGTCCAGCTGCAAACCGACGGAAGAGCTTAGATAATCTCACATCAATTTCTGTCTATCGGGAACGGAACAGTGCCGGTTTACCCAACTTCAGGACACATTACCATTCACCTTTGCCAATTAAGTGTCGTCAAAAGAAGTATTGGTTGAAAAGGTATTTCCCAATATTCCAAAGAATTATACGAATCAGAATGGGCTGAGCGAACGAGCCATTCTAGCGACCAAGAACAACAAGCTTACCTACTACACTATTCAGTCTAAGGTTCAAGGCTAGGCAGTCACATACAGGTCCGTCGACACTGCTGTGGAAGCAGACGAGGCAGTTAATAATCCAACAGAATTTTTGAACTTACCTGATCTGCCAGGGATGCCGCCGCACGTACTGCAATTGAAAATCGCTGTGCGGATTATCATTTTGCGAAATATCCACTAGCCGGAGCTCTGCAACGACACGCGGCTTGCAGTAAAAGCATTAATGAGCAACGTCGTGGAAGCAACTATCTTAGCAGGAACTTTTTAAGGGGAACATGTCATTATTCCTCGCATTCCACTGATTCCAAGTGGTATGCCATTTTAATTTAGGCGACTGCAATTCCCGATTCGATTGGCGACAGCAATTCCGATCAACAAAACTCGGGGCCAATCTCTAGAATTGTGCGGTCTGGATCTGCAAACAGGTTGTTTGTCCCATGGCCGATTATCTTGCGTGCTCCAGAGTCGGCAAAACAGACAAACTTAATATCTGCACAGACAGTGCAACGGCAGATGAATATTGCATACTCACTAGCATTATGACATAAAACCTATTAGAAACGTGCCCCCTTCCTCTTTTCCTTCTTTTTCATGTCATCAGCCTGAGCCACAGCAACGCGTGGCCGGGTCCAGCTAGACTTATATATAAAAATAGAAGTGGTTTTCTGTGTATTCTAGGTAATCTCCAAAAGTACTGCACCGATTGCGCTTGCCTGCGTATAGTGTCGGGATTTTTTTATGTCTACCTTCATAGTCGTGCAGATGACACGCCTGCGATGAGTAAAAATGAGTGTTTCGTCCAAAAAATGCCACCTGCTGACGCGCTGGCCAGCGGCCACTTTGTCGGCATTCACTCGGACACACGATCTTGCCACCAGGCGGAAGAACTGTTCAATCGCATTCGGAATTGTCATTGCACGTGTGATGCATTGATATTCTCACGTGCAACATTTCCAAGGCATCCGGCATGAGAAAACTACTGAAGAAATGCAAAATTGTTTGGGACGAATGTACGATGGCGCACAAGGAAGCGCTTGTGGACCTTGGTCGATCACTGCAAGTTTGCGCGGAAGCAGCAGACCCTTTGGAGACGCATTGCTACTGCTTGTAGGAAACTTCAGGCAAACACTGCCTGTAATTCATCGATTAACACCAATGGGTGAAATAAACACCTGCCTGAAACAGGTCTCTTGTTGTTGCCACGTCCAGGCGGTAATATTAATTACACATTTGAGTGTGCGGCTGCAAACCGACGGAAGAGCTGAGGCACTCTCACACCAATTTCTGGCTATTGGGGACGGAACGGTGCCGGTTTGCCTAACTTTAGGACACAATTCATTACCATTCACCTTTAACAATTTAGTGTCGTCAAAAGAAGCATTGGTTGAAAAGTTGCTTCCCAATAATCCAACAAATTATACGATTCAGAATGGCGTCCGCAATCACCACCAACGAAGCTCCGGGCAATCTTTAGACTTGTGCGATTTGGATCTGCAAACTGATTGCTTCTCACGTGGCCAGCGTTATATTATGCGCTCCAGTCGATAACCCAGACGATGTGTATATCTGCACGGATAATGGAGCGACAACAAATATTGCACAGCCACAAGCATCATGAAGGTAAACCTATTAGAAACGTGTCCCTTCTCATTTTCTTTCTTGTCCATTTCATGGAACTGAACCACAGAAAGGCGTGGCCGGGCCCAGCTAGTTCCTAATAATTTTCCTTGAATCTTAGGCCTTAATGAAGTTGCGTAGTTACTCTCAAATATATGCCTTCGTTTAATGTCCATTAACATTTATTTAAGTAGGTAGATTCTAGTCTTGAACACCTAAAAATTGTGGTTTTGTGAAGTTGACATAGAAGGACTTTCAAAGTGATAGTATTTGTTTTAAACGCCCAACACAAATTGCAAAACCAATGAACGGGGGGACGCGACGGCGCGGAGTGCGAAGGCGATGGAATCTTTCCTTAAGAGCAGTTGCCGGTTGCCAAATGTCTTTGATGGTTCAGAAATTGGTAAAATTCGCGAGGTTTCAGCTAGCCTTATTGGGGCTCGCGTAATGCAGCACGAACAAAGAGGAACAATAAAATTTGTGGGAACCATAGCAAATTCTCCCGCCATGTGGATTGGTGTAGATTGGGACAATCCTGACCGGGGACGCCACGACGGCTCCTATAAAGGTGTGAAGTACTTCAATGCCCACGGACCAACTTCGGCCTCTTTTGTCAAGTACGTCAGTCCCTCTCAGGGTGGTGCTCTCTCCATCATTTTCTCACAGACCTACTTCTTTCATATGCACATGTCGAGGGCTGCATATGACTTTTATCTTGAAGTTCAGGCCCTAGATATGACGTTTATTCACGTTGTCATGGTCATTCCATTAGCAAGTTATCACCCATTCACTGGATTTTATCCTCAAAGTTGTCTGCCATCTGATAAAGCGAATTCGCGTACACACCTGTGATTTATTCTCCATACTTTCCCTTCGCACCTCGCTACGATCAATTTGCAAATTTCCAGCGGATCACGTGGTAAGTGGTCTCGTTTAAACCAACTGCGAGTCGTAGAATTTTATGTTTCAAACGTCCAGACCCACCCAGCCTCTCGCATTCTTTTGTAATGCATAGCCCTACATAAACATGGTTTGATACTGCCGTCGTTTTCCACACAGCCTCTGCCGCGACCTTGCCGGCCCATACGGTCTATATCATGTTGACTGCATATGCCTTGCCGAGTTCAGCACACGGTCACCTCTGCACACGTGAGAAGGATTGGGCCCATTAGCATGCCACTCCTGAATCATTAGACAGGAATCTGGCGGAACAGCCAACCCGGCCCTTGATTTTCTTGATGACATCTTCTCCGTGGCTGTGATGGGCAAACTGGAACCATGTCAGTTAGTGGTCATCGCGGGATCGCAAAACGTTTTCTGATTATTGTTAACTGGTTATATTGCCCAGTTCGATCACAATCCCAAATCTATTGCTCCGTCCTCACGGACATCACTTTAAATGTGTAGTGGCCTAAATAGTGGTTGTACCTTGAGCGCCACAATGATCAGGTCCAGTCTTGTTTAGCAAGCGAAGGCAGAAGACACCAGAATAAGGAGTTTAACGTGTACAAAATCCTAATTTGCTGTCATTGGCGGCGATGACCACTGGTAAGGACGCGGCGTGTGTTTGCGTCCTTAAATCATGCCTGTGAGGGAGACTTTGATGTCATTCGGTTTTATGCAAACAAGTTCAAGTGTCTGGTGCCCAAGTAGTGAGTTTCGAATTACCTAGCTGGAGGAGTGGCGTGTCTAGTGGTCTGCAATACAATGACTGACCGGTGGCTTTTGGAGGACGTGGTCCTGGCCAGCCGTGGCTGTCTAGTTGTCCGTGTCGCTGTAGTCTCTCAACGACTCAGAAAGCGCTCGCAAGAAAGGCGAATAACCTTGACGCAGGGGACGTTGAACAATTTCGTCGCGCACTACAATGGTTGCCTTCTGGTTAAAAACTTATGAAGCATGTCTGAAGAGAAACCAGTGCCTCCGCATCAGGTGTTTCGGTTGTGTTCGAGGTCCTCCAGTATAACCTAAAAATTGTCTTGTTTTCTTGGGTTTATTTTTCGCATGCCGGTCTAACCTAGTGTTTGCAACATTGAGGACTCAGGAGAACGTACGTTCAAAACGAAGCAATCAATTATGGACTCGGTTGTTTAGCGGCAGTCCACTTTCGAAAATCCGTCTTTCTCTAGTGGTCGAAATGAACACAAAATTAGGGCAACCGAAAACCCCAAAGCGATATTTAGCCGGTTTCTGCCCGCTGAGTTGGTAGTTTTGTCTGTTCATAGGGACGGCATGACTAATGACCAGTAGGTTTCAGCTTACTTTGCTCTCTTAGCTTGGCTTATGACGCTTTGTCATACCTGGCAATTTCCTTATTTGACGGATTGGCTTACTAACACTAAAGCTGACCACGTTACAAAAGCATTTTCCCCTGTTACAGCACCGTCCTCGGTCGAAAGTGCGAACATCTATCATTAAGTTTAAATCAATTTCTTATGGCGAGTTAAAGGTTGCAGGAATCTAGAATGTGTAGGCACTTGATGCTGTGACATATGGGACGGGAATATTTCCTTAAATAGAAATAATGTCTTGAGGTGGATGTTGTCTTCCTTATAAAGAAGTTGTAACCCTGCTGTTTTGCTGTGCAGTGTATATCATATCTTATTTTAGAGTTCTGATTTCACCTAGTTGTGCAGACGGCCGGTCTTTATTCCGTAATTTGTACGTTTTGGCGCTCTCCCCCTAATGTGGACAAGGTTATTGTATCATTATTCTGATTTAGCGACTTTATGCGAGGGCCCGCTAGATCAGCTCGTCCAATTAAGATTAAAGTATCATTATTCAACGTTGCTAACGACAGACAAGATTCCGTCATAACTTCGCAAAAAACAGACTAATTATTTTTTCAGGAAATTGCACTCACTGTTGGCTTACCCTCCCGTAGCTGCGCTTATCTTAACTTATCCAGTCACTTTCATATTGTCAGCCAATATTTTCGGTGGCATACGCTTCAGTGACGTTTAACCGGTTTGGGACTCAAACCAAGCAATCCGTGGACCGCGAGACCGAAAATGTTATCGACTCGTCGGCTTTCACCATTTCCGCCTAGGTCTTCAATTTGCCTTCTAAACTTCTTTGTCACCTACGGTTGAACCCTAACGAGAAGAAACCCTGTGCCATTTAGCCTAAGGGTTGGCATATTACTTAGATGAGCTATCTGGGGACACAGTCGGCCACTCGTACTCGTTTCAGACCTGAGCCGGGGGGGGGGGGCGGATTTCGTAAAGCAAGCGCAAGTATGACTGATCGAACACCTCCAGACGACAAATCACTTCTGGGTACTCGACTCATGTTCCACATTTATGAAGACGAGTTGTCTTCGTGCCTGCCACTGCTGTGGCTGTTCCTACTCTGACAGACTTCAGTAATGTTCCCTATAAAGCCTCATCGTCAGCGACAACGTGCGGCGGCACACATTATAAACTCAGTGAGCAGATAAAAACGAATGTCGTAGAGTTATCCTAACGTTTTTATCGTTTCAAATGGGATGTTGGTGTTTGATTTATGGCAGGACGAGGAACAGCTTCAAAACCGCCTCAGTCTCCATTGTTGGATAGTCTGGGATACTCTCACATAAGCGTCTCAGCGAGTACAAACGGTCTGGGGCTGTGCTCTGCCTGCCTTACTCGGCAATTCCCTCCCCAGGCAACGGAGATCAAGAACCACCAGTTTGTTTCTCTCTTATGTGCCCTAGAATTTACATTCGGGGGGAGGGGGTAAAACTCGCTAGTAGTACGCTCGGGTCACCAATTTTTGTGTCGACTAAGATCGCGATGAGCCCTTAAGTACCTCTAAAGACCAACATAAATACTGCAAAAAAACATCTATTCAAGTAGAAATATCCTGATTCAGACAACTTTGCAAGAGTTTGACTTTTACATTCTCTAAGCTGTCTACTCTTTCAGGCTGACAGGCATGAATCACGAGGAACACCTTACTCTGGTTCGAGATGCGGTTTGGGAATACTTTGGTTTAACAGTGTTGATGGACAAGCCAGATGATCTAAGGGCCTTATTTGTCTCACGCTAGCGCTCAACCCTCACCGGGTTGCGAGCAATGGAGTTCCTACACGTGCCTCCAAAAGTTGCTAAAAACACTAAAGTGGGTGGTTTCCATGTTCTTCGTGGTGACATCCCTGCAAACCTGTCGGTACAAGAATTTTAAAGTGAAACAGGTGAGGCTTAGGCCCTGTCACAAGGCTCGGAGAAAGCCTCCAGCGGCTCATCAACCCAAAAAACCTCAACTACTGCAACAGGGAGTGGATAATCGAGTTTCTCCTGTCTTGAGTACTTTATTAAGCAAAGTCTGTGTCTGTATGTCTATTTTAGTAACTGATGAACTATATGTGGAAGTGTTAGTTAAGCACAGATGCGAATAATTTGGTTTTGAAAATTAGTGTTGAATCATGGCCGATTTTTTGTCTATACAAGCCTTTACCTGTCTGGAGAGTCATGACTGCGTAGTGTGGACATTTTTTCCTCTACCACTATCTGATAGCACCACAAGACTGAACCTCCTCTTAACGCACCTTCTATCGTCTACCCTACACCTTTGTTCTAATCCACTATTGGGTAACGGAACCCGAATTTGTGCCTATCCAATGGTCCTCTTGGTGCGTGATTTGAACATAAAGGGTGGTGTGGGTTACTTCGTTATTTATCAAGTGTTAGCACGAGCGCCTTCCGAGTACCAATGACCAACCCATACTTCTGGACTCTACGCCTAGATTCCGAGTCTGCGCCGTTTAAGGAAAAGCAAAGTTTTATATCTGTTTTGTAATGCTGAGCGAACAAGCTTTTCCGTCATAGCTTGTGGCTCATTTTGTTAGTTTCAGAGATTTTTCCAGCAGAGTTCATTCTTTTTCATTAGTCACCCCATCTCGGGGCCCTGCCCCGAGTTGGATATTTTGAACCGTTGACCACCGCTTTACAAATACCGTCAGAAAACTGAAGAGCATAGTAACGCTGAGAACTCATTGGCCTTTTTCAAAGGAAGTGGTGCGGCCTCGTCGCAGTTCCCTACTACTCCATTCTCTATTTGTACATGTTATAAGAATCCTCTCAATTTTATGGTTACCAGTATTTGTGTCTCACGTTTCCATTCTTCCAATATGACGGGTCTCTTCGAAATCCTTTTTTCAGGCCGGATAAACTTACCCTAGGAACTAGTCTAGAGGAGGCCCTTGTTGCCCGTTATGTTCTATGCGCTGAATGCCAGATTCTCACTCGGAATCACGCCCTTCTCCAGCCGGGTGGCGACCCCGCAACTGGAGTGCGTCTGGAAATTGGCGAGAATGCGGGGCATCTACGTGCCACTCTGAGTAGCACCAACACTTCTGTAGAAGCAGAGTACGCAGAGGGCCATTCAGGTGACCGCGTTGCTGCCCCGTTGACAGTTGAGCTCTTCACATCCAATCCATGCGAACCCAGCCACCATGAGAGGTGTGGTGCGGCCGGCGCTGAGATCGCCTTACGCAGGCTGAGGACCGGCTCAGTACCAGGGATACCCGTCTTCAGATGCCTTCGCGACGGCGAAAAAGAGAGCGATAATCCCGTACTCTGGCCCTCTACAGGCGGCAGGCTGTCCTCCTTTCTACCTAATCTGGTCGAGCTCGACCTCTCCTACAGCCTCTTGTCAAAGTGGACTGAACTCGCCAGAGTAAGTCGGTGGGTTTATCATTCATCACCTAGCTTTCTTTTTTGCGGTCGCATTATTTCACAGATGAAGCATTTTAGTTGGCCAACCCGAAGCCGTCCATTAGACCGCCTGGATTGCTTTCCAACTACTCTACCCAGAGGATATCTCCAGGGCTTCTAAACATATGACGGCAGCATTTGCTAAGACAGTGAACGCCGAATAAGCCTTTTAGACACGTATTTGCAAGTGTATGAAAAAGGATTGTTTAGATAGTTCGAGTTGTAACCGGCACATTGCAATAAGTTATGTCACCATTTTGCCAGCGATCAGGCAATAAATTCCATACGTTCACAATGCCACCTCATCTAAGTTAGCGCTTGGCTTACACCAGATGGAGTTCTGGTCAAACCTGCTTTAGTCGGCCTCGAAAATGTCGCGAACTGCACGTTTGCACATGTCATGATCTGCGGCAGCTGATGTCGACAACCCAACCTAGACTATTCTTCAGCCATGGAGACCGAATACCAATGATCTAGGAATGACCTCCACGCCTTGACATTCTGTCGCGAATTAAGTTTTGAGTTGGCTTCCACTTCGCCGTCCCCAGGTGGGTATCGGCCTCTGAGCAGCGGCAGTGGCGACTGACTCATAGGATGAGTGACGAGGAACATTCCCAAGCCACCTCGGTCGTCTTTCTTGGATGGCCTGACGTATCCTCGCGATGTGGCGAGTACAAACTGTCTTATTCAAGACGGAGTCGGTGCATCCCGCCCCAAGGATGGTTCTCAGGCAACGGTGGCCAAAATGCCAGTTTTCTTCAGGCCTGCATGCACATGGCCTGGTCTGACCAGACGGACGCCTGGTACACACAGATTGGGATGGCGACGGCGGTGCCACGTCGGGTCCATAGACATTAAGAAGTTCAGAGATCTGTGAGTAGCACCGATTTGGAGAACGGTATCGTCCTTACTCTGTTCGCTCGTCAGAAACGTAGCTCCGTGGTAATCCAAACCACAGCCTTTTTCACACCCACAGTCTGTTGTCCAATGATGTGCCCTCTCCTCGTCAGAGATGCAGTGTTGAAGGATAGACCGACGGATTCAGGGACCCTGTTTACCCATGACACTACGTTCTGTCGGTCAGTATTGCCTAACGCTAGAATGGCGAAGCCTGATGGCCGTCGCCCGCTGCTAGACCTTGCAGAATTCGAGTGTTCGTCCTGCATCCCTAGAAATTGACCGTTTTCCAGTCGCACAATTTCCGTAAGACTGGAGGTGCCTAACTGCGCGTAGATTATCTGCCATATTTACCCTGTCAAATTGTACTTTATACATAAGCTTGCAGCACTGAATGAAGCATTTCAATTCTAGGAACGAATTACAATGTTGTTTATCCCCAACTGCCCCTCTCCGAGAGACTGGGTTATGAGTTAACGACTAAGGGCCCATTGCTGACTATACAGCTTCTGTGCTCTCTTAGGCATTGGTAAACTAGGGGAGTATCACACTTGTGTTTGACGTTCTCGCTCCTTTGTCGGTAAATTCCCCGCCACTTATTTTATATGCCTTCTCTGTAGATTTGTCGTCAACTGCCAGCTCTGCGAATGCTGAACGTCAGTGGGAACCATATGCGTTTACCTCCTACAGCAAGTGACGAGATTGAGTCCCTCTGCGATACCGACCGGCGCATACAATTCGACATGGACACTGATTCCCATGAGGCTGAGGACTTGTTTTCTACCTCCTTTACCACTCTACATCACCTGGCCGCCGTAAGAATGTCGAACATGTCTTGGTCCGTACTCAGGCGCATTATCTCCTGGATGCCCTCCATAAAGGAGATTTGTGTAGCCTACAATCCTGTAAGTAATTATGGGGTTATTCTACCTCTGATACTTTCATTGCTTCCAATTATTTTGTCTGTTTGATGGCTTCTTTACAGGTGTGCTTCGCAATCACCAATCCGGCCTCGTTGTGCACTGTAACATTGCTGAACATTATTTTTCAGTCTGAATTCAATATTTTGCTGCAATCCTGTGATCTTCCTTTCTGTTGGTTTTTATGTACTAACAGTTCTGTTCATTCCAAAAAGTAGTAGGCATGAACGTATTGTTCCAACCCCAAGTCTTCCAAAATCCGGCCATGGTACCCACGTTAACATTAGAGAAGTTGATGGCAGCAAACATACATTTTCCATTTTTCATCCCCACTCCGGTAAAGTAACGTACGTCACGGTAGGACAGTAAAAACTCGAAAAGCAACCCATTAACAAAGGCTGTGTGATATGGAATATCGAGGATGTCTGGACATAATCGCTGCCTAACCACCCGAGCTAAGAGAACATGCTCACCACATACGCCGGAAAGCGGACTCACCTTCATACGAAACACTGCATGAAACTGGTTTCTCCGAAAAGTCTATCGCAAGACTTATGGAAGAGCGTCCATCAAAAACGACCTTGCTGTCGACCGAGAAGACGAAGAAGTTATTCCTCACATTGCCGTTTCGAGGAAACTCGACCATATAGTGGCTCTGCGGGAGGCTGTCCTTTTACGAAAAGTTCTCGAAATATATGGAAGGAAGCCCACCAAAAACAGACATACCGAAGGTTGAGAAGAAGGAGCTGTTCCTCACATCACCGTCTCGAATGGACCCGGCCAGTGCACTCAGACAATGCCGCCTGAGCTCTGCTTTTGCGCGTACGTACCCAACGGCCAAAGTAAGATTAATTTACTCTTGCACTCCCCCTCTTCGTTTCAGGGGTAAGGATAGGCTGCCGTGTCTTGAGTTGTCCCTTTGGAGCAAGTTATATTCGTCGAACGGCAGGCACTTATCTAAGCGGATTCGAGAGCACCATCCTGCTTGGCTAAAGCAAGATGTGGGGAAATCCGTCTCAAAAGTATTCGTGGCCCACTGGGTGGACGTCAAGCAAGCATTTTGAGACGCTCCCATTTTCTGCCTCAGTTGATACTTGTGACGACAGAGACGGTGGCTACACGGTTAACCAATCCAACTTTATGTTAACAGAAGGCGTTCATTCAAGTCCTCCAGCTACCGTGACCCAGGCTGACCCCCACGTCACGTTACGGCGACGAAACACTGGGCTGGCTACGAAAAGTCGGAAACGTATGTTTTCCGGCTTTGACTTCTAATTTTTTCTTTGCGTATAATTTCTCATAGAATCAGCAAGTAAAGATGAACGACACTTAAAATTAGCTTCTTCCTCCTGCGATGGACCCAAGTTAACATTTAACTTGATGGTTACCCTTTTGTTTTATTAGGGTCGAACACTTTCATACTGTACACTCGCTGTCCGCGTCCGTCACTGTTGGTGTTGCTGTTTTCATTCATTAAGCTGGGTGATTTTCCCTCAGTCGAGACCCCTGACGGTCATTCGATTGCCGAAACATTCTCTGGCCTGGAAACCCTCGATCTGACGTCAACTGAACTCACCGACTTCGATCGTGTTCTTGAGGTGGTCGGCTCCTCATCGTGCCTAACTAGTCTTCTGTTGAACGGGAACAAGATCCGCACTCTGCGACTGTCCACGACCTCTCCACCAGTGCTGAGGGCGCTTAACCAAATCGGTCTGCGGGACAACCTCCTTGAGGATTGGGAGTCCGTCAATGAACTAGCTCGTCTACCCGCCCTGACTACGCTAATTCTTCGACAAAACCCCATCCTTCTCAACTTCACTCCGTAAGTTCTGTTGCCCCCGTTTTTGCCGGCTGATTGGCAACCCGTACGAGGCTCATCACTTGCTGTTATCTGACGACAACTTGTTAGTACAGCCTATTTGGAAAAACTGGGACACCTAACATGCGCATATATATGATGTACCCGCTAGTCTTGCTTCTTGATACCAATCACGTCCACGAACGACGGGTAGTGGAATTACCTCTAGCAAAATATGTGCTCCCAGCTGTTCCAGGCCAATGGCGACCGCTGCCAGAACGCGAAGAGCTGAGGTCTAGTGCACCGAAGACAACACTGTGAAGTGACGACCGTGAACTAACACTAAATGCGGTAGATGTGCTATCCCATGAAATGTTAGCCGAAATCCTGAAATGTGTATCAATTTAAAAAGGTCACTTAAGTAGGGTTGCAATACTAATTGTCATGAAGCATGATCTCAAGATATTTAGGTCACGTCAGGGTGCCGGCTTTTGAATCAGCCTTTTCCCGGCCGCCTGCATAAACTACACTCCGCAGCGAATGGCTGCTTAAGTAACATGAATTTTCCCCATTTATTCTCGATGCCCTTGCGAATTCAGGCACATTTTATAGAAAACATACATGAAAATATTATTTCTTGTACTTATTTGGTAGCAAATTACCTCACCCTCAAATTTCACACTTGAAGGAAGACTCTCGTCCGGTTTTAACAAAACTTTAAATTTCCGAGTAATTTTGGATCCGACTTGCCGTTACACTTGCCTTCAGGGTTTCCAAACTACAAGCTGTATGCTTTTCATATGAGGAAAAGCACACATTTCTATGTATATTTCTGTGTCATATAGGGCTAACAGAATTTTGCAATGGGTGGTGACCTGGTTCACTTTACAAGCACAATCGATAACTGTGCCGATACGACCCTGTGTAATTGGACATTAGACGGTCTTAAAAATCTCACAATTGGAGACTTTTCTAAAACCCGGCAATGCTATTCCTTTGAGCAAAAAATTTGAAGAAGGCCTAATTTACTACAAAATGAGTACCAGAAGGAATATTTATGTGCATGTTTTCTAGAAAATATTTTGTTGGATGGTACATCTACCTCGCAGTTAGGGCTTCTAACGAAGGCACTAGCGAAAAGCCTCTAAATCCCCGAAACACCTTATTGTAAATGTTCCGAGCTTTGTATTATAATCCGGGTTACAGCGTCCGCAGGAGCTGGCGCGTTCCGCAACCCTGGTCCAGTGATGCGGGCAAGTAGTATATGAGCTGAACTACTCAATTGAGGACACTTGATACTGAAAGCTGTATTATGCGAACATTCCTCGATCCTTATGCCCAAGGCCTGACAGCGCTCAGTCATCACCAGTACAACGTGGGTCTGCGGTTTTTTGAAGTCCGAATCCCCTACTCATGGACTCCAGAAATCAAAATCCCGGGGAACAGCTTCACAGACGATAAACCATGAGAGCTTGCTCTGACTTTACTCATTCAATCATACTTTTGACCACCAGCTGAGACTAGAAACGCAAACATGCCCGTGCATACGGCGCAGATGGATCACAAGCCTTTCATTGAGCTCAGGTTCGTCAGTACTTCATTACTTGTCATTGTCTACTTTTGAATCTGGGGTTAATTACTGAATCAGGAACGGACGCAAGCCGATCATTTGACTCCCCTAAACAGACAAGCTCCGCAGGGGTGCAACGGTCACAAACATTCAACCACCTGCCAGGTTGAACTCAGCCAAGCTATGATTGCACAGGAGGCATTCAGGATTATGATTGGCTGAGTAAAATCAGAATAAGCTTGAAACAGTTATGTATCAATATACACCCGTGCTCATTCCTCTCTTCCTACCCTACCATTGCTTTACCGAGTTTGCCGTACCAGGTGCTTGCATATTCGTAAACTCTTCTACCCATACGGAGCTTGTTCGCCTCAGAAAGCCGGTGGATCAGTGTACGCCTTATCCTGGTTAAACGTATACGTGAAGGGCAACTTGTTATTAGTTCCAACTCTACCAAATGAGCCATGGGCTCATTGTCATAAGGGTTGTCATAAGAGATATTAAATTCCTTGGAAGTCCACTCACTGGCCGGGCAACATGATCCTTGACTTCGTCGGTATTCTACCTCTGCGCATATTACTACTCGTGAAGCCTCTTGCGCAGGCTCTACATTGAGCTCAGAGGTAGACTAGGACAAGATGGCCCCATAACCCGATCTTCGAACGCGCTTCTACTCAGAAATAGACGCACACCAATCCATTGGCTTCCCGAAGCAAACGAATTTCGTATGGGTGATAGGAATCACAAACAGGCAATCACATACCCGACCGAAGTCGGCCAAGCTATGGTAGCAGAGGAGAGACGACAGAGCCTGGGGGGTAAACTGATACAGCACTGTTTCGGGCTTGTTTGCCGCACTTGCCTAGAAGTCCTCTCATCCACACCCAAAATGTCTCGTGTACGACGCCTCGGGGACAATCCAAGACAACGAAGGTTCTAGAAACGTGGTCAACATCGTACCCTGTCCGAGTGACAACCGAGAGATTATTGTATATGCCCAGTGGCGCCTCAGTGATGGGATTCATTCGAAAACCTTGTGGGTGTCTTCCCAAAGAAACTTAAACTTGAGACAATCAAGTCAAGTAGATTGGATTGCAGTTCGACCGTTGTTTCCAACGATGTTCACCGTGTGCTCCACAGCGAGGTGAAGCAGGCACAGTGATTTGCGCGTGAGTTAGTTTACGGTGAGAGCAGACGTGTGCACCGGCTGGGGATAGGGGTGTGTTGATCAGCACTTCGCTGGATCCTTATGTACTGCACTGTTATCAGTAGCTCATTCACGTTTCGTGAGTTCAGCCTATAAATTATGACGGTGTCAATCAGGATATCCTTTGATCGACTTTGTTGAATTATGTCATGAAAATGAAGTTGTGTCCGATTAAGACCTACCATCGTGGACCAAGAACCGGAGTTCGAGTGGCGAAGAGAGCGACCTTAAGTACACAAATTGCGCTGTGATGCTGGCGAGCTTTTTCGCATAAATGGCGTAGAAAGTGCGAATTCAGGGGAAATAGGCCTGACAATAAAGTATTTCACGGCGCATCTGACCGTCCGGGGCTTTGCTGCTGGGAACACACGTGCAGTTCTGGTAGATAGTGATGCCCGTCAGTTAGATGGCAGCTTCTCTTCGCGCAAACTTCCACCAAGCATTTGTTGTTGTGATGCATTATCCTTTTTCAAGAACTCCCTAACTTCCTATTTTTCCATATATAGCGAAACTGCCCGCCAAGAGATCATAGCACGATTGCCAGGACTCAAGTCCCTCAATTTCCTTGAGGTGTCCGCTGAGGAGAGGAGGGGTGCTGAACTAGACTACCTTAAGCGATATTCCAAGACCTGGAAAGACGCTCAAGAGAACGTGAACACCAAAGCGACTTTTGCCAAGCAGCACCCAGCCTTCATTCAAATCTGCGAAAAGTACGGTCCCCCTGATGCCGGTGATGGAAAGGTTAGCGGTAATCATTATCTTTGTACGGTCACTGTAACACTGAGAAGTTTTATTTTGGCCGCATGACCGGCATTCACCAATGTAGGTGGGCTCGCTTGTCTGCTGCTTTGGCGCAATCACTAACTGCGCTTTTGCTTTGGCATCGGCTTCCAGTGCATTTGTACGCCAAACAATGGTTGCTGTCGGGGTGGGGATTTTCAGCCAACGTCCAATATTGCGGCTGATTCAAGACAAACAGGGCCATGGGATGCCGTTCTGGCGCGTTTCTGTCGTTTGGCCACAATTTATAACCCAAACATCGGACTTCGGTCACTCGTTTGGTCGGGCGCAGGAATATGGGCCCTCTCCAGTACTACGGGTGACCTCGCGCTAAATTCCAGGGCTCCCTATTCCCGTGTTCCAACCCCAACCATCCTAACACTAATCCTGACCAGATCCCTTGCTCTAACCCCCCCCCCCCTAGAATTTGCTGCAAGGCCTTCTGTAATATAAGGAGGTCCATATTTCCGTGCCCAACTGCTCGTTTTACTAAAGGGCTCATCTGCCTCCGGACTGCCCATGTGGTTCCAGAGGAATTGAGAAGTTAACTAGAGGACTCCAAACACGATCCTGTCTCCTCCACATTTGCGTCAATGAGACAGGCTTCGTGGTGCCTACAAACAGTATTATCCAGCGTTGTCTCTATTCATCCGCATCCCTAAGTCTTAGCCCAGACATCCCCTAGTGCACTGTAGGATTTAAGTGTTACGAAACGCTGCCTGAGTGGGTACTTAACGTCTAACGGCCAGGTGTGTGAATGGACTCAAGCAACTTCAGTAGGATTCCCCATTTTCGGTTGCGTCACCAAAGCCGCTGCGCAGTATCTCGAAACTCGTCTCTGGCTCATCTCATCAAATGTTAACCGAAATTTTGAAATATGTTTTCGGTTAGAAAGGATTACTTATTCGGAGTTGTAACACTCATTATCGTGCACGAGGTAAGGCGACGAAGATAACCGACAAAGACAAGGGAGACTGGAATGATCATTTCTGCTCTACTAGCCGTCGTAAGCCAGACTTACCTAATTCCGGGTTTGTGACACCTGAGCCTTGATTCCTCGTTCTTTAGTCATCGAGTGTTGTTAAGTTCAATGCTCTTCTATTGAGCCACGGACTCGTTCTGTCGGTTGCGATCATGTTATTAGCATCATTATTATTCTGACGTTTTTTCCCGTATGTTTAGATTATTACAGCATTGTGTTACCTTTGCCCTACCACTTTTCGCCCTTCTGTGATCTGACCCTCGTTGCATGCGTTCATTCTGCTTTGTTATCAGCCCGTGATTAAGTCCCTTAAAGAAGGCCTCCTGCGTCTACATCTCGCCTGCGAGCCACCAGCGCCCAATAGTCGTGGTGTGGAGCACGTTATTGAACGCAAGGTGCCCGCTCGCATTACCATCAATCATCTGCGCACCCTGGTGCGTCGTGTCTTTCAGCTGCCGCCACAGGCACGCATCGATCTCATTTCCCTGGGCTGCCGACCCGAGTCCACCGACGTAGAAGTACCCCTGGAGGCCGATACTCGAGAGCTTGGTTTCTACGGCGTCGCAGACGGTGATAAGCTGCTGGCTCGCTGGAGGGCTTAACCGGCCTCGCCAAGCCATTATCTTCTGTTATTGCCATTTGAACTGGTTGGCTGGGCTGCCCTGTGCAATAAACTAGACGCTTAACAGTGAAGAACACGTTTCCTTCCTTTTATAGCACTCGCAATATCGTATATGCGTTCCTTAACTGTTTGGCAATTCCGATTCGACTACTGTAGCCATCGATTCGAAATAAAAGTCTATGCCATCCGCCAGCATACTCGTAGTGACATTGTTTTCATATAATTCTTTTAAATACTGGCTGGGATTTGCTTCGCATCCAATACTCAAGTCCCGAGTCATGAATGCGAAATCGTTTTAATGTTTTTCGGTAAAAAAAAACTTTCAGCCGCCTCTTTTTAAGTTACCAATCATGACTGCTCAACCTCTGAACAGAATTATTTCGTCGGAGTATTGGGGTTGCGTCAGTAACAGGGGCAAATTGTTTATTTGACGCAGGCCGGCTAGATAAGAATCTAAGCTTGAGTGTTTCCTCAAAAAAACGATGTTTACCGTAAGTCAACTTCCGCCAACGAGATGAAAGATGGGACTCACATCCTGAGTTCTGGGCCCGGCAATAACTCGGGTAAAAGTGCATGCGATTCCCACTGAAACAAAAGTTGGGTCTCACAATGTCTCCAAGACACCACTTCCATAAAGTCAGTTCGGCGTTCGTAGTGAACACGACCTGTCAGCGTCTACGTTCAACGATAGTGAGGAAGAAAAGCCCGAACGTACTGAAACGACTGCCAGTCTAGATCCCACAAATGTTCTTTCCGTTTAGCAGTGCGTGCGGTCTTCACTAGCTAGACAGAAATAACTCCCGAATTGACAATCGACTTGCACACATTATGGCCACCTGGTGTTTGGTCCCTTCATCCTTCTCACCATAGGGGGACTGTCGTTGAAGTGTGCTTAGCGCAAAGTACTTCAAGAGGCATGTCCCTGTCCCAAGCGTCCGCATATATCTAGTCCTGTTTGCCTTCTTGTTTGTATTAGGTCCGGCTTGTTCATACAGAGTAGATGCAAATAAGCGTTGTTGGCTTATCGGTAGCAGTATTCTTTAGAGAGGTAAAAGTATGCTGGCAGACAATCCGAGAAATTGTTGAATGCTTGGATTTCCGCATGCAATATGACGCCCGATAGCCACTGCGAATCTCCGGCTTTAAACGGTACCCAATATATACATAAATGCCAAATGCTAACCTTGACATTAACGATTGAAGGTAGTCGTAGCCAAATATGTGGCGTACAGGGACATATTTGTACTGGGTACCTGAGCCGCCAAGTGCAGGACAGATAGCCGTTTATCAGGTTGGTCGGCCACACATCTACTTGCATAAATCTCGTTTCGCCCGGGAACACTCCACGTGTTAAATAAATACCGGGTGGAAAAATCTAACTCACTATCACACTGGACACAGTCAGACCAATCCTGACTCCAACCACGAAGGCCGCAATTTCTCACATTGGCGGTTACAAAGTCTCGTCAGGAGTGGCATGCATGGCGGTCCGTTTCATGCAGCCTGCTTTTGTACCTCGCACAGCCAGGATCACGACTGCCCGAGGTGGTCTTGAAGATATCATGTGCTTGGAGAGCCCGACACACTCCCTCAGCGATGCATATCGGTAGCCAGGTTCTGAGTTGACTTCGTCGTCTCCAGGCGGGTAGCGGCGTCAGAGCAACACCATATTCTTGCGATGTTATCGCAGTGAGTGCAAACTGTCTCATTCAATCGAATGATGGTTGTCGGGCGAAGGTGACCAAACATCGCAAGTTTTTGCCAACTTTGCATGCACACGGTTCGCACTGACCAGACGTGCGCCTGGCATGCGCAGATCTTTTGTGGTGATGGAGATTATACTTCGGCTTCACAGACAAAGAATTTCGAAGATCTGTAAATAGCATCTATTCGATAGATGTCGTCCCCACTCTTCTTTTGGCAGAAACCTGATCTTACGTTTACCGCCATGTTGATGAACGCCCTGGAATCAGCGTCGTCTACAGAACCGATGGCCATCTCTATAACCGGCGCACGCCGGCCCCAACGCGACTACTGTCCACGACCTGCTCTTCGCAGACGACTGCACTTTCAACACGACTACAGGAGTAGATATGCAGTGGAACACGGAGTACTTAACCGCTGGATGCACCTAATTCGGGCAAAACGGCAAGCATTTGTCCGACTTGCGTAAAATTCTCCCCTCATCCACCTTAGCGGCACCCATTTGTGAACTGTGGGCAACTTAATCTATTTGACAGCACACTCACGCAGCATCAAAATCGGCCGGATCTCCCAATTCAGTCGGGCCTTCGCCCGACTGCAAGCCGCCTTCTGCAACCGCCATTGACTTCGACTCAATGCGTACCTCAAAATATACAGAGCTGTAGCCCTGGCAACGCTGTTACACGGGCTGGAAATCTAGACCGTCTGCGCTAATCAGGTCAAGAGACTTGATCGCCATCACCTCAGCTGTTTTCGAAAAATCCTAAAACCGAGGTGCAGAACAGGATTCTGGACAAGGAAGTTTTGGAACGGTCGGAACCCTCAACATCCACTCCATGCCGAGACAACTGAAGCTGAGGTGGAGGGGCAACCTCGTAAGAATGGACGATGATCGATTACCCAAGCTTGCCGACAAGGAGGTCAAGCACTCCGCTACAAGGACACCCCAAAGAATACTTTAATGTATTAAAAACCAGTCTGAATTCCTGCGAATATCGTACACACGACCGGTCGGCCTGGAGAAGGGCAGCAGAGACAAGAGCAGTAATATACGAAGACGACCAGATACCCGATGCCGGAGCCAATAGAGCAGCTTGCAATTATGAAGCGTCACCAACCCATAACGCCAGCGTCCAATATCTCCCAAAGTGCCCATGCTGCTGATAGTTCGACCATCAAGTTCGATGATGTTCAGCGTGTGCCCCACAGCAGCAGCGGTGGGAGCACGGACGGTGACTTGAGCAGGGGTTTATAGTGCCAGTAGACTTGCGCTGCATCCATCTATACTCTCTTCTCCCTCACCCGAGCCCGGTGTCAAGGCAGAGTCAAGAAGACCGGAGACGAGGGAGGCCGCAGGTGGATGGCTCGGACGGATCCTCACCTTGGCGTTCCACCACACCCCTGATCCACACAACAAATAACCAGGATTTCAACCGACACAACAGAGATTGGAGGCTGGCACGGCCGAAGCCGCACCTAGGCGTGCCGCCGACACCTGGATCGGATCCCACACAGTGGGAGTGCCATAAAGCCCACATTAAGAAGGAGCCATTGCAGCCTTACTCTCAGACCCCCACCAGTCGAGAAGGAGATCCAAGTTATCCCGTCAGTTGGCAACCTTCCAAGCCACGGCTTTTAGCGCACCGTGGTGGTGGCGGCGGCGGCGGCAGCAGCAGCCGGGAGGGGGGGTGTTATGGTGTGGTGTAGCCGGCGGTTGTCTACCGCAGGTCGTCGTGGATGCGCATGTGGCCGAATAGGCCCATGTGACGCGTGAAAGTGCGAGGGCAGTGGAGGCGAGCTTGGTGGACACAGGTTGGTGCTCCAGGCATTGGTTCGCCAGTCTCCGTGCGATGGATTCGCAAGTGACCAACCAGGCCGATGCGAGAGGTGAATGTGTGTGGACAGTGTGGACAGGTGAGGTCGGTGGTGTCGGTGTCAGTTGCGATAACGGTGATGGGCGCAAAGGGTGATGAAGTGGGGATGGGGTTTGGCGTGGTGGGTGAGTCGGGAGGGCGGTCAATTCCGCTCTCGTGGATGCGCCTGTGGCCGAATAGGCCCATGCGATGCGTGAAGGTGCGAGGGCAGTGTGAGCAGCGGAGGCGAGTGCGGCGGGTGCAGGCTGGTGCTCCTGGCACTGGTTCGCCAGTCTCTGTGCGATGGATTCGCAAGTGACCGACCAGGCCGATGTGTGAGGTGAAGGTGCGGTCGCAGTGAGGGCAGGTGTAGTCCTGGTCCTCACCCCTGGAGTCGAAGGTTGGAGGGATGGTGTCTGTTGTAGTGTTATGAATGTGTGTGATGCTGGTGTGAGTGACGGTCATCAGAGCGACCACGGTTGGTGCAGTGGGGCTGGAGGAGGGGGATGATGATGATGATGATGATGATGATGATGATGATGATGATGATGATGATGATGATGATGATGATGATGATGATGATGATGATGATGATGATGATGATGATGGAAGTGGTGGTTCACAAGAATTGTCAGAGCTAGTTGGCGGTGGAGAGGACAAGGAAGAGGCGGGCCGAGGGACGGCGGTTGGTGCGCTATGGGAGGCGCAGTTAATCCGAAGATGTCCAACAAGTCCGATTCGAGCCCGGAATGTCCGTTGACATCGAGGACACGTTGGAAGCGGTTGTGTGGCGGCGTTGCGGACGGGGCGTAGCTGTGATGTGCGTGCTTCGCGTTTCACTTTGGCAGCGGCGATTCGGTTGGCCTCATAGATCGCAGCGCCTGTCTTCACTTTCCTCCTCCAGGTCGGTCGGTCGAGGGCGAGCTCTTCCGAGTTGGTCGGGTTAATTTGCAGACGCTTCAGGGAGGACTTCAGAGTATCCTTGTATCGACGAATTTGGCCTCCTTGGCGGTGAGAGCCCGTCGCGACGTCTCCGTAGAAGAGTCGTTTGGGTAGTTGCTCGTCGTCCATGCGCACCAGGTGGCCGCTCCAGCGCAGCTGCATTTGCCTCAGTATGGCGTAGATGCTGAGGATTCCCGTCCATTCCAGCACATCAGTGTCGGGGATTCGATCCTGCCAGTTCAGCCTCAGGATGCGACGGAGACAACTGAGGTGGAAGTGGTTCAGACGACGTGCCTGCTTTGTGTACACTGTCCAAGTCTCTGCTCCGTACAGCAGCGTCGGCAGGATGACGGCCTTGTACATTTTCAGCTTCGTGCTCAGTTGGAGGCCGTGACGCTTCCAAACTGTGCTTTGGTGGCAGCCGAGGGCTTGAGTGGCATTCGAGTTCCTGCGAGCGACTTCGTCATCGATTTTGGTGTTAAGGGAGAGGGTGCTTCCCAGGTACTGGAAGTTCTCCACCACTTGCAGTTGGGTTCCGTTCACGCTGATTTGCGGCGCGTTGGGAGAAGTTGCTGTGTTGGGTGGCGGTTGATGCATGACCACCGTCTTCTGCGTGTTGATGACCACACCGAAATTCTCGCAGGCGGCAGAGAAGAGGTCCATGCTCCGTTGCATCTCCTCTTCCGAGGTAGTGTTCGGGGCGCAGTCGTCGGCGAACAGAAGTTCGTGAACGGTGGTTGTGGAGACGCGCGATTGGAAGTGCATCCGCCGTTGATTCAGCAGGTGACCGTCCGTCCTGTAGGCGATGCGGATCCCGGGACGTTCTTCGCGGTAGGCGTCCATCAGCATGGCAGAGCACATGAGACTGAAGAGGGTAGGCGCCAGCACGCATCTCTGCTTCACTCCGTTGGTCACTGCGAATGCCTCTGAGACAGCTCCGTTGTCCGTGACTCGCGCCATCATACCGTCGTGCAGCTGACGCACCATCTGAATGAATCGCTCCGGACAGCCGAATTTCTGCATGATCTTCCACAGTCCTTCACGATTCACCGTGTCGAAGGCTTTCGTCAGGTCCACGAAGGTAGAGTACAGGTGGGTCCGCATCTCCTGGCCCTTCTCCTGAAGTTGACGGGCGGCGAAGATCATATCCATGGTCCCGTGATGTCGACGGAAGCCGCACTGGCTTTCTGGCAGAAGGCCCTGTTCGAGATGCTTATTGAGGCGGTTGAGCAGGATGCGAGCGAAGATCTTCCCGGCGATGTTCAGCAAGGAGATGCCACGGTGATTGTCGCAGACATGGCGATTCCCTTTTCGCTTGTAGAGGTGCACGATGGTTGCGTCTTTGAAATCTTGCGGGATTTCACCTTGACGCCACATCTCCTGGAAGAGCGCAGTCAGGTGATCCATTAGTTGGGGACACCCGTGCTTGTAGACCTCAGCAGGGGTTGCGTCCGATCCGGGTGCTTTCCCGCTGAAGAGCTGCTGAACGGTCCTGATGGTTTCCTGGAGAGATGGCGGGAGGTCGAGGTCCACGTTGGTCTCCACTTGCGGAAAACGGGCGATGGCGGCGTCAGAGATGGTGGAGGGACGGTTGAGGATGCCTCGAAAATGCTCGGCCCATCGCTGTAGAATTTGCGCCTTCGCGGTCAGGAGGGTACTACCGTCAGCGCTGAGGAGAGGAGCAGTGCCCTTCGTCGGCGGACCGTAGACAGCTTTGATCGCGGAGAAGACGTTCTTCCATTTGTTGCGGTCCGTGTAGCCTTGGATCTCCTCAGCTTTGCGAACAGTCCAGGCGTCCTGCATCTCGCGCAGTAGTTGCTGAAGGTGGCGGCGACTGCGGTAAAAGGCAGCTTTGTTGTCGTCAGTGGGGTGGTCTACGTAGGCTTTGTGTAGGCGGTTCTTCTCAACAAGCAGATTTCTGATGGCGGCGTCGTTGTTGTCGAACCAGTCCTGGTGTTGGCGGAGTGCGCGACCGAGGACGGCTAGCACCGTCGACTGGACCGTGTCTCGCATTTGACACCAGCAGTTCTCCACGGAGGCATTCTCGGCAGTGGCGGCATCGGCGGCGGCAGCGATAGGAAGGTTGTCTAGCCGTTGAGCTAGCTCATTGCTGAAATGCAGACGGTGAGCAGGCAAAGACAACAAGGCAACATTGAGCATACCAGGGGGTCGCTTACCTTATGGTCTACTGCGAGGTTGTAGGCGAATACGCATCTTCGAGATGACGAGGCGATGGTCGGTCCACCCGTCAGCACCCGCGATCGCCTTCGTCACCAGCACATCCCGCTGATCTCGCCTCCGGACGAGGACATAGTCCAGCAGGTGCCACTGACACGACCGAGGATGCCTGCAGGTGGCCTTCTCTCGCTCCGGCAGACAGAAGAACGTGTTCGTCAGGATGAGGCGATGTTCTGCGCAGGTGCAGAGAAGCAGCAGACCGTTGTCGTTTGAGCCGCGGAGACCGTGGGGATCCAGCACTCCTCTTCAGGCAGTATGGTCTGTGCCGACACGGGCGTTGAAGTCACCGAGGACAATCAACTTGTCCGCCTTCGACACAGTCGCCAAGAGGGCGTGCAGGTTCTCGTAGAATTTGTCTCTTGCGGCATCGGGGCTGGTCATCGTCGGAGCGTGGCGCTGATGATGATGGCGAATTTGCCTCCCCAGACAGGCAGGCGGAGGCTCATCAGACGATCGTTGATGCCCTGCGGCTAACAGGGCAGTCGTCCCACGATGTCGTTCCGAATGGCGAAGGCGACGCCCGCGTCTCGTCGCTCTGCCCTGGGGCGACCGCTCCAGAAGAAGGTGTAACCGGCACCCACTTCCTCCAGTTGGCCTTGTTCGTAGAATCGAGTCCCGCTGAGTGCGGCAATTTCCACATTGTAGCACGCCAGTTCCCGGGCCATTAGCGCTGTCCTCCGTTCCGATCGGTTGCTCCTTGGATTGTCTAAAAGGGAACGAACATTCCAGGCTGCCAGAGTGAGCGGACTCCCCCTGCCAGTCTGGCGACGAATGGGTCGGCGGGAAGGAGGTGGAGAAGTGGAATAGGCAGAAGAATAGGCCGAGAAAGAGGGAGAAGAGGTAGGATGAGGAGAGCGAGTAGTGTTGTTGCGGCTGCTGGTTTTTCGATTTTGGTTGTTTCGACCGTGAGTTTTACGTCTGTGACCACGGTCAGCCTGCAGACTTGGTTCCCCAGCACCCAGCAATCTTTAGGCAAACCTATCCAGGCCCTCTCCGAAGAGAAGCAGTGCCCGGTCCCTGAATAGGGCTGCTTGATGTGCCGGCGCGGCCGAACTCCACTGTGGTCCACGAGATTTTCTTGGCAGTGTAAGAACGCCTCGAATTTGCCAATGGCTTACGACATCGCCGTAAGCCCCCGGTCTCCTACGATGCACCAGATGGGCGCGTGCCGGCGATGTCGATTCGAAGATCCATCCCACCGGCTGACCAGCGGCGTACCAGACGGAGCCTCTTCACGACGGTGCCGACACGGTGTTCCATCCGACTAACCGTCCAGCGGAGTCTGCAGTACCCTGTACACGTGGCAGAACGCTCGGGGAGTAACCGCCCTCACCTGGTTTAGCCTGCCGGTGGAGGCGGTTGTCCGGTATGTGGCCGCTGAGCAGAGCCCCACTACGTGGAGCCGCAGGTGAGAGTTGGGTGCCATCAAATGGACGCTAGGCGTAGTCTCACCTGCAGGCAAATAAGCTACCACTACGACCATCACGTGAATCCACCGCTGACACCCCTACCGAAGCATATACGCTTGCTTCGATATAACTTGGTCCATTCAGTACCGCGTACTGGTTATCGTACAATTTTGACATAGAAGGCATTCACAGACAAATTTATACCAGTAACCAATGCTTGTTGTTTGTAATTACTTACCTAATTTTCTCTGACACTTGGCTTATACATTGTTTTTTATGACGTTATTGTAACAAAAAGGGAGTTCAAAGGCGTTCGCCTACCTTTCCCTCAATAAATCTGATCCGATCTGAATCACAACATCGGTCGACCGGGTCGGACGACTGGATCGAGTTAGGTTGACTCCCAATGCGTAGTTTCTTACTATGAACGATCCGATGCGCTCAATACTACTACGGTACGCTATAAGTCATGGCTTTAAATGTTTCCAACTGACAACCCAGATCACGCGGTTTTCCCAGTGGGTTTTTATGCGTTGAATGGTCGACTTATGGACTGAGAGTCGGATTGGGACTCCTCACTGACGCTCTCCGAGTCGCCTATCTTCTTTTGTAGATAATCTTGCTGTGTAAGTTTTGAAGGACCAGGTCGTGTATGTGGTGCTTGCCGACGGGCTCTCCAGTCCTGCCGGCCGCTGCGCCCACCCCCTACATCAGAAAGTTGACCGGGTTAGAGAGCGAATTGTTGCCTGGGAATAGGAACTGAGGGTGACGTCGGCAATCCCAACAAGCACTACTCCCTACAATCTTAAGTGCTTGAATCTATCATGGTGTGCTAAAAGCCGTGGCTTGGAAGGCTTCCAACTGACAGGATAACTCGGCCATCCTCGGAAAACGGCAAGTCAGGTTGCACTGGCTCTTTCTTACTGTGGCATTCATTGCACTCCCATTCAGCTGGAATCAAAGCTACCCCTACTTGTTGTGTAAAATCCTGGTCGGCTGTACATGGTATACCAGGCGGTTTGATGGCATGCCTGGGCGCAGGTCTCCACCGTTACAGCCACCTGTGAGCTCTCCAGCCTCCGGTCATTTTGACTGTCATGACGTCGGACCCATGTGTGAGGAGACGGGGACGCGGTAGATTCCGAGCAAGCCGACGTCCCTCCTTTCCCTCTGCTGGGTGGCACGCGGTCGACATAGTCCGAAACGACCGTCAAAACTGTCAATTCTTGCTGCTAGAAGAGTGACATCGTCATGAAAATCGGATTCAGTCAGTCGGTATCAAGACCGCAGAGTCCCAACGATGATCCAGTCAATGGCGTGGTTAGACGGCATGGGATACAGCATGCAGATTTCCTGCATGCCAAATTGAATACAGAACAAGTAGGAGATTGTTATGAGCTGATGTAAAGCAGTTCTCTAATCATAGTAGGCCCTAAACAGACAGTCGACTCCCCTTGCATGTAATCCAGGTTTGTTATCTCTC